TAACAATAATTAAAAAAAAAAAGATTCTGAAAAAATGGTTGTAACACCAGAACAATATTAAACAAAAGATTGTTAAGTATTAGAATTAAAAAATAATTAAAAAAGTAAACCGGTATTTCAGTACGATTTGAAAATTCTTCTAAAGTCATAGATTCATAAATAGAGTGATAATTTCTTCTATCCAAAACTGACATAGTAATCTAATGTAAATGTTATTATAAAAAAATTAAATTGAAAATGTAATGAATTATCTATTATTCTACTGTTTTTAATTGTTACAGCATATATACCCAACCCAATACACTCTTTTTTTATCATTATGAATATTATAAACAATTGGAACTTACATTTGCTAATTGAGTTTCAAACTCCATCACATCATTCATATACTTTAATCCTGTTTCATTTGCACCCATTTGTTTAGCTATAGACTTCATATACTTCAGATAAGCTTCACGGTGCTATAAAAAACGTTTTAAAAAAAATATATACGTATACATTTGTTGTAATTATTAATTTTATATATAAGTCTTCAGTTGGATTAAAATTTAATAATGCAAATAATTTAACAAATTTTTTCTAAATTACCCTAATGTGAAAAGTTGAATTTTTCAAGTATGATTCTTTAGCAAGTGAAATTCCTGATTGATCAAACTATGTCAAAAACAAATATATTAACTACTTATTTAGCTGTGTTATTATTTTATATATAATTTATCTAATACAATGTAGAATGGACAAACTGTATGCTATGTACAAACAGTACACAAGGTGATAAAATGTATGAAGCACATAAGGTGATAACATATACGAAATACAAAAGGTGATAAAATATATGAAACACAAGGTGATAATATATACGAGGTTTGTTTAATTTTAATATATTTTAGTTATTACAAATATTTTGAAAAGCATGCTAGTAAGAATTATATCAGTTATGAGAATATAGTTCTAAATATTATAAAAAAATATTTTTCATAAAATAATTTTTTTTTTAAAAAATTATTTTATGAAAGTTATGAAAGTTATTTTAAAATTTCATATTTCATTATAGTTATGAAAGAATTTTAAAATTTCAATTTAAAATTCTTTCATAACTATTTTTTTTTTGGAATTTTTTTTTCATTTTTAAAACATCTTTGCTTCCAACAAAGCTGCAAGCAACCACTAATTAGAATTGGAAGTTACTGGAAGAGAAAAGATGAAGATTGTAGAGCAAGATAACAATTGAAAGACGACTTAAAAGATTGCAAATTATATAAATCAGGAAAGCAAGATGAAGGAAGCGAATTCCAAACTGATGTTTGAGGAAAAAAACTAGAGAAATAAGTGTTTTTGGAGCACTTAGACTTAACTTATTTCAAATAATAAGAATCTATTATTTAAAATAAGTTAAATATTGAAAAATATTATTAAAATTATTGAAATTAGGTTTACTGAAGATATAAAGTTTATTTTAAATCAGTTCTAAAAATTATTTTGTTATAACTTTAAAGGTAGTAAAACAGAATTAATTTTTTTTAGTACATCTAAAAGCAGGCATAAAAGCTATGATCAAGCATTAAAATAGAAATGGAAAATCAAACATTAAATAACACATCGAAATGCAAGTAAAAAAGTAAAAAACCATAATTTTATGAATAAATCAATGATAATTTTATGAATACATCATCAAAGTTATTAATGCTAAATTGAACTTGGGGATCTAGAACAACTTTAGCTGCTACACGTATATATGAATCAAAGATCTTTGAAAGTTGTTGCATATTTCTCTCAATAATTTTGCTCTCAATCAATAACTTTGCTCTCAAACAATAATTTTGCTCTCAATCAATAATTTTACTCTATATAAATAATTTTGCTCTCAATCAATAACTTTGCTCTCAATCAATAATTTTGCTCTCAATTAATAATTTTGCTCTCAATCAATAATTTTGCTCTTAACCAATAATTTTGCTCAATGCACAGCGATTGCTCAGCAAAAACTAGTTTAGTTCATTAAAATATAAAAATTAAAGTAAGAGTACATATAACTTTACACATTAGACAACATTCTTAAATTTCAAAATCAGTTCTTCCATGCAATGTTTTAACTAATATTAACACAAATCTAAAAATTGTGTATAATGTTTTAATTAATATTACCTAATATTAAGCTTCATGGTTAAATATGCAGCAATAATTTAACAGCAAGAATTAAATTTAATACTTGTTGTATCAACTTGTAAGCCATTTAAAAATGTGCCATTTTGATTTTAAATTATTCTAATTAATTGATAGTTAATCAAATGGGTAATGTAGATATCACATATATAAATACCTTGAATGTAAGATAAATAGAACTTTACCACAATAATGTTCTGGCTAGAATTCTTGATATCTGCTGCAACATAAACCTGCAAAACTGGAGCAATACTTATATTTTTATGTACTGTAGTCAACGCTTCTAACGAATCCCATTTTGATTCGTCAAAACTTTCATCTGTTACTGGCCATGAACCTATAAAATTTCACCTGCTTAAAGTAAAAGTTAAAACATGTAAAAAAAAAAAAAGTTGTTCAGTATGAATTTTTTTGTACATTAAAGTGTTGCTGTAATTAGAACTTTAAGTTATCTGTACATAAAATATTGTACTTTTTATTCTATAGCTGTAAAACCATTTAATTTTTTTTTTAATATATTTGCAGATTTATTTACTTATTAAGTTACAGTAAATAAATAAAGTAAACAAACAAGCTGTAATACACATTACAGTGTATAGAGTCTAACAACAGTAGACGTCAGACTGTAATAACTATTCACAGTTTTGCATATAATTGCTATAAAGGGTTTTGTATCTATTTAAATTTCTCACATCTACAAGATCTTGTGGTAAACGGTTCCATTTGGCCACTACTTTATTTATAAAAAAATTATGTTGAACGCTTGTTTTTTTGCTTTGTTATCAACATTTTCTTTTATTGTAAAAATAATATATTGTCTTTTTGTAAAAATAATATATTGTCTTCTAATATAAAAGCATAAAAATACCTTTTCTTCTCAATTTAAATTTAAAAAAAACTTAGTTGCTATCGCCAATATTATCAATTTTTGGTCTATTAGTTTCTCAAAAAATGTTTTTTGTTATTTTAGTTAACTTCAAAAGGAGTACGGTATTTCTGTCACTATTTACCAATATTAATAGAAACTTAATATAAAAAAATTAATAGGAAATTTTTAAGTTGATGTTTAATATTTATGTATAAAATGGCATTAGAAATGACATTTAAAGAATTTAATACTGTTATTGGTATTTTAGTACTTATGTTACCATTATTATTGCTGTAAATACTAAAAATTTTAAATACTTTGAAAAACATAAACCTAACTTTATTATTTATTATTTGTTAGCTTCTAGATGTTTTTAATTATTGGAATAAAAATAGTTTTAGACTATAACAATCTATAGTTTACAGTATAAAAAGGGGACGACTAAATAAGTGCGAATGTCGCAAGTGCGACATTCTGGCATAAGTGCAAATTTAATTGCAAATTTAAATTTGCCTTATGTTAACATTTTCAATTTTATTCGGCGAATTCGCACTTAAGCTACTTATGCCAGTAAATGGGTAGGCTCCACTGATCTCTATAATAACTGGATGGCGCATCTCCTAATAAAATTTCAAAATTTTTGAAGCCAAAAGACGCCATATTGGAAAGCCCCAGAGTTTATAAATCCGTAGTTGCGTTAAACTTATATGCGCTTAAAACACAAATTTCGCTTGATAAATAAAAAATGCAAAAACCTTATAAATGCATTGATTATTAAAAACCGAGTAAATCTGATGTTATATGTTCAGATTATTTCATGGAGAGTGACATAAATATATATATATATATATATATATATATATATATATATATATATATATATATATATATATATATATATATATATATATATATTATATATATATATATATATATATATATATATATATATATATATATATATATATATATATATATATATATATATATATATATATATATATATATATATATATATATATATTATGTATACAGGGTGGCCAGCCACTTTCAAGAATTAAATTCCCTGACTTTTTATATTTTTCCCTGACTCAGTGATATTTTGAAGTGTGAATTTTTAAGTTTTGTTGTTTGGGAGTAAGTAAATAAAAAGCTTTAAAAAAAATTAAATTTTCAAAAAAGACATTTTTCCCTGATTTTCCTGACCAGAAAAAAATTCCCTGACTTTTCCATGATTTCCAGTTAGCTGGCCACCCTGGTATAATATTATTATAATAGCATGCAAGTGTATATTAGTATGCACCTTTTGATTCTTAATTGCCCTCTGCAAAATGCCTGAGGCTTGTAACATATTTGCAAGGTAAACAGCTTACAAGTTTGCTGTATGAATCATTAGTTAGGCAATGTGATTGTAACACAACCTAAAGGTTCCTTAGGCAACATATAGCAAATCTTTATATTTACTTTTAATAATATATATATATATATATATATATATATATATATATATATATATATATATATATATATATATATATATATATATATATATATATATATATATATATAAATTAACTTAACGCTTAACTTTCGAAAAATACTTTCAAGACATTTTTGTAAATGCCATTAGACATTTTCACAACACCAGAACATTTGTATAAGATATTGCAATTACAAAAGAATATGTTAAAGTAAAAAAATATAAATAAAATAATAGTTAGCTCTATCGTCTTGAGCAAAATAATCATTGAATAACTTGTATAAGAATTGAATAACAAAATAAACATTGAATAAAAAGGTATTATGTGGTAGGGAAAAGTAAAAAAGTATGTACACTTAGAAAAAAAATTGTTCACCTTTCATTTTGGTCTTTTATGTTGCTTATTTGTTTTCACAAGAGAAATTTTAAATATTTATTAATTATACAACTAATATTTATCAGTATAAAACTGATAGATGTTAGCTGAATCATTATTATTTTACTTTAGAGTCAATAGAAAAACTTGAAAGAAACCATGTTTGTTTTCATTTATACCATACTTACATATAAACAATCAACATGTATGTGATGCTGTTATTTAGTCTAAAACACTAAATACTTTAATGTAAAACTGCAAATAACTAGTTATCACCAAATATCCAGTGTTTTTTAAAGTTAGAGATGGCTTTTTCAAACCTTCACAAAGTGTAATTAAAGTTAGCAAAGCAAGAGAACAAAACGTTGTTATTAAGTGATATCAATTTTAATAAAGTATTGCATAGTTGATGATATTTCAGTTGTGGAACAATATAAACATGCCCTCAGAGTTTCAAAAATTAGAAAACCATTTACAAAAATGTTTGATACAATGTTTTTATCATGTTTTATACTTGTAAAGTTACTTTCCAGCTACTATTGCTAAGTAAGGTCGCATCAAGTTGTTAAAATAAACACCCAAAAGTAACCAGATCAAATATCAATTTGTCTTTTAGAAAAGTTTTATTTAGAATATCATGAATTCAATAAATTTAACAAGTTTATAGAAAGCAATACAAATTTTATTATTTCTTTATAGCGATATTTCTCTTCGTTGTTAATGTTCTGCGTGTTTTTGATTCCCTTTTATAATTTTTACAGCTTCAAACATTTTAAATATAATAATATCATTGAAATATGTGACTTGGTCGAGTAGGTATAAACGAAGTAAAAAGGTACATCTTCAAGCGCAATCACTGTATTTTCGGTATACTGGGGCTTTCCAATATGGCGGCCGTACAAAATATTGGCTTCACTTTTGATATTAGAGATGCGCTATCCAGTTATTATAGAGATCAGTGGTAGGCTCTCTTGTCAAACCCTTATTCCGACGCTGTCCTTAAGGTCCGAAAATGTAAAAAAACGACTTCTTCATTTAAAAGAGAACCTACCCACCCCAAACCCTCAGTCGTTGTTTACACACTCCGCTGCATGTTCTCTCTAAAAATTAGTTGGTGTATGTGCGCACCGCTGCGCAAATCCCTATATACCCCGTTTTGCCCTTTTCCTAGAAACACGAGTTCGCGGACGCAAAGGACACTCAACGTCGGAATAGGGGTTTGACAAGAGTGCGTTCCCAGTAAATGCCACTTATGCCAGTTTGCACTTACATATATAGGGTTCATCTATAATTTACGTCATGATTTGGGAGGGGGGGGGGGGAAGAGAGATTAGTAGTTTTGTGACGACTTAAACGGAACTTGTTAGAGGCTGTTCACACGAGGGTACATTTGATGGAACATTCCATGGAACATGAACAAATATCCTCTCGAGGGTACATTTGATGAAACATTCCATGGAACATGAACAAATATCCTCTCGTGTGAACGCAAATGGAACAAAAATTCAAGGAACATTTGAGGGACTTTTGTACCGTACCGCCAACCCAGAACAAATAAATGTTCCGGAACATTTATTTGGTTTTGTATAAAAAATGGTGCCTATTTTCAATTATTTTTAAAATAAGCGTATGCATATAAGATAAATGATTCAATAAAAATGCATTGCAAGATGCAAATTTGTTGTGAAAGTAACTCAAACTATTTTTTTTACAAAGTTGTTGTCATCTTAACCAGAGTTTTTAGTCCTCGATCTCTGCATTGTCCTAGGTCTTGGTCATATATCAAGACAAGATTATCGATATACTATTTGCCTTTCAACATGTTGCCTAGAAACTTTTAGTTTTTTATTGAATTCAAAACGTTTCTTCGAATATAATTTCATATCTTTATTCATTGAGTAAAAACTTGTGGTAATTTCATGCAACTAAGGAAATTCCAATACCACTCGTGTGGAATCAATCATGAGTAGACCAGATGGTGGGCAATTATTTAAAAACAATTATTTGACCAACACAAATTTCAAGTTATTTTTAACGATGTTTAAAATTTGTATAAATAGAATAGAAATTTAATTATTAGTGTATTACTAATTTAAAAAGAAGTTATATATTTGTGTTTAAAAACTTAATCTTAAAATATAACATTACAAAGACAGTATTATTCTTATTAATATCAGTTTTAATTTGAATTAACAAGAAGTATAATTCTAGGTAACATTTAACTTGTGTTAAGAAAGTTTAATTTTCATTGTTTAATGGTTTTTATTTAATTATATTCTTTGCAAGCATTGCTAATAATGCATTTTTAATAAACTTATAGTAATTTATTTATAAAGTTCAACTTTGAATTAATAAGCAGAGTTGTATTATTGGCCTTGCCAACAGTGATAATAATAATAAAAATAATAATAATTATTATTATTATAATAATTATAATAATAGAATAATAATAGTAATAATAATGATAACAATAACAACAATAACAATTGTTAATATTATTATCATTATTATCATCATTGTTATTATTATTTATATTAATATTATTAATGATATTATTATTGGTATATATTGTTATATATGAGCTTTGTCATATGTTTTATTTATATGTCATAT